AAGCTTAAAACAACAATGGTGAAATCTTCAATTTGTAACTAAACTTGCATAACACTTGAAATAAATGACATTAAAAGTAAATAATGAAGATTACAAGAATCTTACAATAAACTACAAGTGAAAAGATGGAAGAAAATGCAAAAACATAAATTTCTATTACTATTCATTATCTACTTCCTTGGAGCTTTCTAAGCTTAGGTAGCCACCACTTTAATGGCTTGTGAATGCTGAATATATGGAGTGTGAGATGATGCATTTTCATCCTTGAGGATCTCCTAGCCTGTGTGCAGGCCTCCTATCAATGGGAGGTGAGTAGATGGCTTTTGACAGGCTAGGAAGAGCATAGCCTGCACCCAAGATGGCTGACCCCTTCTCTCCCATCCTCATTAATGCATTTCCCTCCAAAGTCTTCAACTAGGGTGTATGAAACATGTAGATGTGTAAGGGAAGTCAAGGGGCAAGTGGGAGAATCAATGGTGGGACCCCCAAACAAGTGAAACATGAGTTACAGGCGTTCTAGGTAGTCTAGGCACAGCGTACTGGTACGGTTTGGCTACTAGAGTTCGGGGTACCAGTACACGTACCGGTGCACTGCTTCTCTGGACCAATTTTTGTAGAATCATCATAAATTGTGATCCAACCATCCGATTGAGTTGAAATTTTGACAAAATATAGAAGACATCCTGATATACAACTTTCATGTTTTGCACTTTTTCATATTCGAAGTGAAGCATGGTCAAAAAGGAGGAAAATCGAGGTACTGCTACAAAATGGTGTGGGTGCTGATGCCTATGTTACCAAACATCAATACCTCCTTGATTCCTTTCACTTTTAAGCCTCCAAATCCTCATGTAATGTGTCCATATATTCACCACTCATCCACACATGGTTGTAAGGTTCTAAGATACATGATTTACACTATAATTACCTGCAACATCGAAAATTCAACATTATTCATAAATTCGGCTAACTCTAAGTACTTAGATGCAAAAGCTGAGTTAAAATACAAAAGTTGAGTTTTCTTGCATTTTCATTAAGAACAAAACTCACCAAAACCAACTACAAGATTTTACACTTTCTTTTACCAAAATCATCTTTTACTCAATTCACATCCTTCCCTTGGAAACGACCTTGGAATACCTCCAAGTAAAACACGACCCGCAAAAATCTCCTTGCGCTTGGGGAGCATTTTTTGTACACACACATCACATCTCACATTTCTATTTTCGTTTTTCCTTGGCCTTTCTTTTGACACCATTCCAAGGGAGTGTGACACTCCCCTCCCTTTTTGCACACACATCATACATACATTGAGGGAAGATGTTAGGAACAACAAGGAAAACAAGTAAGCATTTTTTGGCGCCGTTGTTGGGGAAGGTTAAACGTCGAGTTAAAAGGTGATTTTGGGACGACATAAGTAAGTTTCATGATTTTCATTATGGGCCAAGGTATGTCGTCTAACTTGTATATATTTTTGTTGTAGTTTGTGTTTTGTATTATGTTTCTTAATTTTTATGAAAATTTATCAAATACCCAAAATTTTGAAAATGTGTGTGAGATTTGTGATGAGTTTGGGCACATTACTAGTGAGTGCCCAATAAATGCCCCTTATTTTGAAAACGTTTGCAAGATTTGTGATGAGAATTGATACATCACTAGTGAGTGCCCAATAAATGCCCCTTATTTTGAAAACGTTTACGAGATTTGTGGTGAGTACGGACACATGACTAGTGAATGCCCAATAAATTATCTGGTTCATGACTATGCATGCGAAGGTTCAAATTCAAATTTGGCCTCTGAAAATTTTTACCCCGACCACTATGTTATACCGAGTTATCCAAGTTATGATTGAGAGAATGAACCTTATAATTTTTCATCAAATCTCACAGCACCAAATGAATTTTGCCATTATCCAACATATGGGAACTCAACCGAAGAAGAATTGGAAAATATTTTGTGCGATTTTATGCAATACCAAATGGATTTCAATGCCCAAATAACCCAACAACTTTATGAAATTAGAGATGGATTTAATGCATTGACTAATGCTATAATTTATGTGCATGAAGAATAGCATCTTGAGCATAGTCAATGTATTGAGGATGATCATCTCAATGAAATGCATATTGATGTTGAATCTTCCATCACTCTAGATTGTGAAAAATTTGATGAAGTTATTAGCTCACATGAGGCTAATGAGCCCAAGGTCATTTTGCCATCTTTGAGTGGTGTTGAGATTCACATTTCTCAACTTGGGGAGGGCATTGAAATGGAGTTAAGTGCAGAAACTTTTAAAGAGAAATGATATACTCCATTGTTGAAATTGCATAAACTAGTCTATACCTCGGTTTGGTTGAGAATTTTGAGTCAACATCCTTTCTATGTTTGGATTGATGGTTTAAGAAGGGCATTTATACAACAAAAAAAATTTTAAATCAAAAAAATCAATGGGCGAAAGCTCATATCCAAATTGAAGCCGGATTGACATGTGCCATTTTTGTTTTACTTTCATGTACATAGTAGTTAGACTTATTTTATTGTTATATTTTTCTTCTATTGATGTTGTAGTGTAAAAATTGTTTACCTCTCCATAATTTGGACTCATTTTATTTTGAGCATCATAGTAGAAAATCTCATTCCATATCATGTGTGAGTTTAAGTTAGGGGATGTAATCAAATGTTTTTGCTTTCCCTTTAATGTGTATGCAAAAAAAAAAGGGGGGGTATCTTATTTCTCATGTCACTTTCATTTTTCTCATTGCATGATTCCTTGTACATTGAGGACAACACATAGTTCAAGGTGGGGGGTGAGGTGCACCATTTACATGTTCCACCACTTTTTGTATAGAATAAGTTGGAAATGTGAAAATTTTGGATACATATACATAGATACATATATACAACACAAAATACATATATACAACACAAACACATATAAACACACACACACACACACACATACATCTATGAATATATAACAACATATATATAGATCTATGCCTATATATATAGATCTATGTGTAAGTTTCGTCTTCTTCGTGTTTGAATTTGTCTTCATCTTCTCACCTTCGTCTTCACGTTTGTGATAGTGTTTAGAAAGAGGCACCTCTTCGTCTTCGTGACAATGGGTTTCAGATGAGGCATCGCGAGAGAGAGAGAGAAGCAACATAGAGAGACAAATGAGGGACAGAGACAGGAAAAAAAAGAGGAAAATGGGGTTTTATAGTTCCCATAGAAAAAATCTCATTTTGTTACTAATGAGATTCAAATGTTGGACCTCATTAATTGATAATGGGATGCACGTGCGTGTTTTCAATTTTGGATGTTTTCAATAACATCATTTTTGGTGTTTATAGTTTTGGATCTTGTTTTCAAAAAAATATAGCTTAAAAAAAAGGAAACAAATCTCAAACGGTTTATTATTTTTTTTAGCAAAACATGAAAACAATAACAAAAAAAAAAAACACAAACCGCTAGTTACCAAGCGCTACCTAAGTGAACACGATGAACTTCACTTTTCTTATATAAGATGATTAGGGTTTTGAAAAATGCACCAAATTAAGAAGATAGAAGATGAAAAGGAAAAAACTTATCTGTAGGCCTTCAAATAATTTGTAAAAGTTTCGATGATGGTTGACGATAGAAGCACTAAAAAGATACAGATAATAAGTCGTCGAAAAAGTCTTTTAGTTTTGGATAGATTAAAATGTTACCGTTAGAAATTTAATATAGAATTTGAGTCTACTTCAATTTGACTCCAGAATAAGTTTTACTTTAATTTAGTACAAGTTTGAGTTTAAGGTTGAAATTTTTTTTGAACTATTTTGATTAAAATATAAGGGTCTGTTTGGTTTGTGTTTCAAAAACTAGTATCTGAAAGCAGTTTTTGAGAAGAGTTTTAAAAAAGTGCTTTTGATATTTTTTGAGATAAAACACTTGTTTGGTTAGATGATTTCAAAAATAATTTTACAATACAGAAAATAATAAAACTTGTTTAGATAGCTTAAATATATATTTAAACAGTAATTCAAATATTAATAAAAAAATATAAAAAATTTATTTTTATATTGATAATCTCATAATATATATATATAAAGTATATAATATATATATACATATACATATAGATATATGTAAAGTATATATTATAATATATTATATATTAATATTATATTATATTATAATATGTATAAGTATATAATATATATATACATATACATATACATATAGATATATATAAAGTATATATTATAATATATTATATATTATTATAATCTATTATATTATATTAATATATAATATAATATGTTAAAATATATATTATGAGAGAGAGGAAGAAGTAAAAAAAAAAATAAAAGAAATGAAAAAATTTTGTTCTAAGGAGACTCGAATGATAAACCTTATTAAAGTCTAAAATTGTTCTCCTTATTTTTAAAGTCTAAAATTGTTCTTCTTATTTTTAAAATTTTCAAAGAATACTTTGAAAATAAGTTAAATTTATTTTCTGTTTCTTTGATTCAAATCTCATTTTTTCTTAAAATTTTGAGAATAAAAGTGCTAAATAAACAGATTTTAAATATTTTTAAAATTTTAAAAACAAAAAACAGTTTCCAAAAAACAAACCCGGCCTAAATTTAAACCTGGGTGGAAATCCTCTAACGTATATTTTCTCTTTGCAGCATAAACACGCTTTTAAAAATGTTAAATACGATAGATCATAGATGTATGCATAATTAACTCCCTTGGACTGTCTGTTTGTGCTATGTCAATCCACCCTCCTCCTCTCTCTCTCTCTCTCTCTCTCTCTCTCTCACACACACACACACACACACACAGAGTTTGTACTGTTTGTTTGTTCTTTCTCTCTCCACCCTCCTCGCTCTTTCTCTGGCAAATTCAACTGGCCCTTGCACTGTTCGTTAGGTCTCTGTCTCTCTCCATCTTCCTCTTTCGCTCTCTGACACCCACCCAGCCACACACAGAGACTCGGTGGAATTGAAATGGAGACAAGGGGTTTGGAGAAGAAGAGGTTAATCGAGGAGGATTGGAACTCCATAGCCAAACGACCACTCTCAAGAACTGACTTTCCTCCGGATTTCCTCTTCGGTGTCGCCACTTCCGCTTACCAGGTTTTCGATATAGTAGTCTCGAGTCCTCATTCGTAGATTATAGAAATTTACAGTCATTCAATTGAATTTAGTCTGTTTTCTGTTATCTAATTGAAGGTTGAAGGAGCTTGTAATGAGGGTGGTAGGGGTCCTAGTATTTGGGATGCTTTTTCACATACTCAAGGTATGATTGTTCTTGCACTCTTATCAATAATACTTCCCGGTTCCCTTTTGTCTTGGATTGATATGCACATACAATTCGAAGCTGCACTTGGTGATGAAGCTTATTTGGTTCATATTACTTGCTCTGCGACTGCCAGGCAAGATTTGTGATGGAAGCAATGGGGATATATCAGTGGATCAATATCATCGTTACAAGGTCATTTGTTGTAGAATTTTCGCTCCTCTTCTTTTTTCCCCCGAGTACTACATAAGTTTCTACTTCAGCACTGTAACTGCAGGTTTTGCCAATCTATCACTTTTGGAAGTATTTAGGTAACATAAACAGCAAACTGATGTTTGGAAACAGTTCCATGATAACAGTACCACTCTGTTGCTTATTTCGTATAATTCTAATAAGATTTTCTGGGTTTTTACATGAAACTTTTTCTGATTGGCCCCCCTTCCATGGGTGCAAGACTTCCTCAAGAAGCTTGGTGTAGAAATTTGACTTTATTTTATCCCTGAGATTCGAGAAATTTCAGGCTAACTCTGCCGATTGTCACGAATCGCCAGAAGTTTTTTCAAATAGTTTAAGTTTAGGGGAGTGTCTGAACATTGTAGATGTTTGATACTTTTTCAATTGTTTCTTTTGTGTTTCTAATTTTTACTCCAGTTACATGTGTGATTACTTGATCAGTTATTTTGTACTAAACATTATCGTTTACTGATTGTGCATCAAAACATATGCAAGGATATTTTTTCCTGTCAAATGGATTATTAGATTTTTTTGCCAATTTTTCTGATGTTTTATGATATTGAAATGGAAAATACAAAAGTTTGATTTGTTCTGTGCATTGTTTTGTCCGAGTGTTTCATATGCATGGTTTTATTGTAATAATCAAAATGTTATTGTGTATGCTCATTCTTGTTGCTGACACTTGTATGTTTGTTATTTTTCTCTTTGCCGGCTTTATTTGTCTCGCTTATTTTTTTACGATATGCAGGAAGATATTGACCTTATAGCTAAGATGGGATTTGGCGCCTATCGTTTTTCCATATCATGGTCCCGCATCTTTCCTGGTATACCCTTTTTCCCCAAAGTATGCATGGTGCAATTCACTATGAACAGTTGCAATTGTCCAATTTTACAATATGAATTCAGTTAATATGGTCGTTTGATAATGTACCTATCTTGTTCCCTTCTTTGATTTGTGGGTTGCTATTATTTTTTTTCCCTTCTATTTTTTGAGTGGTAATGTGACCCAGTGCATGTAGGTGCACACACTTGAACATCCGAAGAAGTTCAAGCTAAGTTTGATTTAGCCAAAACATTATGGTTTTTCTTAGAGATTTTCCCTTTTTTGAGATTATTTTAAGCTATGATTAGGGTTGTTAGTCATTGAAGTTTCATTTTTAAATTTCATGCGAGTTTTGAGTGAGCCATGTGTCCATTTATGGACTGTTTGATTTTTTTTTTGTCTTTCGATTCATCTAGACAGAAGTTTAGCTCTTTCTGAGATCATGATGAAGGGTTAAGCTGGAATCTTTGCTAGGGGGTACCAAAACAACATAATAAAAGGGTTGTTTCAAGTTGCATTCATCATCTTTTGATTTATTTTATCGGAATTGACATTCTGTCTTGGATTGAGTTGCGTGTGTTAGTTTAGTATAATCTAGCTCTTCAATTCCCATTCCCTTTGTTATTCTTCTTCCTTTGATACATCAGATCGGTTTATAAATTATAATGGTGGTTGTCATTTCCATCTCAAGGTAAAGCTTTCATCTAGTTATTTTGCTCCCTTCCTCTCCAATTCCCAATTGTTCCATAAGGTGCAAGGCAGAGTTCGAATTGGCAAGTCCTTGGGTTTTACATTGTTCATACATTTTAGAACGTCATGAGATAGGTTGTTTCATGTCTGGTGTGGGCGTCAGAGGATGAAGAGGGCTTTTCCCTATTATGAGAAGATGCTTCAGCTGCATGCCTGCTTACATCACTGCACTTGCATTTAACATACGACTTGTTTTGATGTAATGTCCTCTTTTTCGACTACTCATGGGAAATTGCACCGTGATCCTCTCCTTTCAGATTGCGTCTTGGAAACTAATTGAGTTTTAGCATAAGTAGTTCCTTGGGGTTGTATCAACTGGTTGAAAGGTTTGAGAGAGACTTTTATATCCATTTCTATACTTTCAAGGTACTCTATGAATAAGGGCCTACATAGAATTGGACATAGTAAAATAAGAAATTGACAGAATTTTAGTGTGGAAATAGTAGACCAAGCAAAGGAACTATTCCAATTTCTCATTGAAATTATATATTAGAACAACTTAAGAAATTTTGATTGAATTCTAATCCAAAGAAGAAAAACTTAGAGGCAATCATATGATTTTCCATGGTAAAGAGGTCCTGGCTAATTAAATCCAAAAGTAAATAGAAATAGTGATGCAAAACTCTTCTTGGCACTTAAATATTTGGGTAAAAGAAGCATGAGACCAACAGTGGAATACTGTGAAAACTCAGTTAAAAAATGTGGACACTCACATTATCAACTTGGTCGCCTTTTGCTGTTCTTGCATGCACATGGTTTCTTTTCTTTTCTCCTGCTTTTATCTTTTAATTTTGTAAGGGGCTATATAAAGTAAAGAGTTATGCATTTAACGTCTTAATAATTTGTATTCAATACAAGGTTGAAACAAGTTTAGCAGAAACTTTCATGCCAAATCTTTTGTATTTTTTGGAAGCACCTCTAGCTTTCTTCACATTTCCTTCCATGTTGTTTAGAAATTATGCTGGAGTTGCTCGATCTAAACGGTTACGACTTACCACTAGACCACCAACGCAGGTGGTAAGTGTGAATTAGCATGATTGTTAACAAATAAAAGGATAAATAAAGCAATTATTATACATCCTAAAAATGAATGTCAAACTTGACATCAAAACTATTTTTGGATTTTTTAATTTCTTTTGTTTTTGAATTTTTCAAATTATTTTTTGATTTTCAAATAGAAAAATAAATAAAAATAACAAAGAAAAATATATATAATGTATGACCCTACGGTATTTGGTGCAATACATTAATGAGCACTTAAGTCCATACTCTTACCTCTTACTTTTAAGGAGTCATGGCATTGCTATAAGCACTCGAGGCGTCCACTTGGTTGAGGTGGTGAGTTTTTCATGGTCCTCCCTAGTCACCTATACTTATTTTCTCTTCTTAAAACTCGGGTTAGGTCGGAGAATGGGCAGATGACTAATTCTCTTCTCCCTAGATGTGTGTAGATCAATTTTGACCTTGGGGGTAGAATGAGCTTTATGCACTCTAGCATGTGGTCTATTTAATGATGATGCATGCATAAACTTGGACTTACTAGACCTTTTCAAAAATTTAGAAAAATTAAGATTTGATGGTTTAAAGCTTTTGATTGGTTAGTTAGATGCATGAGCTTCTTATTAAAAACTTACCCTATCATGAATGCAATATACACGATAGTGACCATGTTCACAACAAGTAAAACACACAAATGATTTGGTTTAGGTTTCATTTTTAACCAGTTTCTTTAAGTGTTTACCTTTACTAATATTAGCCTTTTTAAGACTTGTGTTTACTTGTGGAGGTGGAGGGTTGAGATTACCCTTTACGAATACAGTCATAGAAGAAGTGATGGTGGTGTTCTCAATAGTGTATCGTAAATCACTTTTGTCACCTACATTCTTCCCTATTACCAACATTTTGTCAAGTTTTTCGATGCTTTGAGAAAGTCTTTTCGAGAGTTCTTGCGATTCGTGAATGTCTTTATCAAGTTTTATAATTTTAAAGTTAGAGGTCTTCAACACTTTCGGTCTCATCTTCACTAGCAGAAACTTCAACCTCTAAGTCATCTACATTTGTAGTGGGACTCGACTCAACTTTCATTTCTTCTTCTTTGGAAGTTTCTCATTTGGAGGGGGGAGGGAAGAGGAGTATAAACCTACAAAGGCTATGAAGTTCTCTTCATCACTTTGAGATTTTACGAAGGCAATTCGCAATTCTCTTGAATTCGTTTGGTGTCACGACATTAAATATCACATTCAAGTCTTTTGAGTTCCACCCCATCAATTCAATCTTGGTTTTTAACCAAGTCTTTGGGGATTTTAATTCAACCACCACCGTCGACTTGTGTGTCGGTGGTAAGAGAGCTCCAACCTTCTTGCACGGTCAACCAAACTCTCTCATCTACAGATTTTAGAAATGTTCTTATGCGAGCTTTTCAATACGCGAAGTTAGACCCATTGAAGAGAGGTGGTTGGGCAATCGAATCTCTTCCTTTCTAAGACTTCATTAGAAACTAACTAGCAGTAACAATAGATCTCTAGAACGCAATACACTGGATGTATCTCGTGCAACTCAAGGCTCAAGAGCTCAAGAGGGTTATGCTAATGTGTCTCGTGATACTAGTTGTTGTTCCGGGAGGGGGGAGAAACTTGTCCTCTTGAGCTCAAGAGGTTCTACTAATGACTCAATCTATGTTTTCAAGATATAACGATAAAGAAATTTTTTTTTTTTTAAAATCACCTAGGAGTCATAAATAGATTAATCTCTAATTTCATTTTAACTCTAATCCTCCTAAGTTGAATAAACCAAGGGATTATTTTAGGTATCTAGGATATTATCTTTGTTCTAAACTTGAAGGTGCAACCGGAGTTTGAAGACGCTTGATCTCCTCCCTTCCATGATGACACTTTCGGATTTTCAACCTTGAATACATCATGACCATAAAATAGGTTGAGATTTATAATGGACTCCACGAAATTAGCCAATTATAAATGTATATCTAACAAAGCACAATAGACTAAACAATAGCCTCGACTTTGAAGGGACTCTTGGCCTTCCAAGTGAATTTTTCAAAAGATAAGGAGTGTACTGTATGGGAACTAATAAGATAGGAGTAAAAAGATTTACAAGAGAAAATACCCGAATCCTCCTTAATCCAAATTATTCAATCTTGGAAGTTATTATGATGAAAATTTTGAAGAATAAGAAGTAAAGAGGTCAAATCCTTTGTTTCTTTATCATTTAAACTCCTAATGAAGTGAAAATCCCAACAATAAGAATTATCCACCCTAACAATATAATAGAAATAGAAGCGCCTCATGGAGAGAATAAAGTCAATAAAGTTGTGGAAAAACAATACTAAATCTAAATGCTAACCCACCTTCCCATTTATCTTTCCAAAATTGAACTCTAGATCCATTCCCCACCTTATAACGAACTAATGAAAAGAAAGAAGAATACACCTGAGAAAAAAATTGCCTAGGACTTCTATGAGCTGCATTATAACCAGATCTAGCATCCCAACCATTATGAAGAAGACTATACTTACTCTTTTTTATCTTGTGCCAAAAGGGGATTAGGTTCTAAAGGGAATCTCCATAACCACTTCCCAACTAGAGAAACATATTTTTGACACCAAATTACCAAGTCCCAAACCCCTCTCATTTATGAGCTTACACATTACCTCCTAACCAAGGATTGAAATATCGTTTCAGAGTACCTTTTTGGTTAGCTCAAAAAGAAAAACGTTTCGAAAATGTATAAAAAATATGGAAACACGTGGAAATACAAATACAATCCATTTATTTATAAATAAAATTAATTTAACATATTTATTAGGTTAACATCCATTTATACAAGATAACATCAAATTAGAGGGAAAAAAAAAGCTTGACACTAGGCGGAAATTACTTCAATTAGTTTCAACTACTTAATTTTTATCAAGTAAACACATTTTTACGTAATGTTAAAGTCTCATAATACAAATGAAGTGCTAATGAGCATATAACTATATTACTACATCCCATTGTGGCGTGTCAACTAGACTCATAAATCGATTTAGGGTAGTCACTTAGAGGAAGTCCATATGTGATATAAACATCACGACAATAGTTGGTCCAAGTCATATAATTACAATAATATGAATCATACTTTGTGTTGAACCTCTACTAGTCCGCAACATTACATCCAATCTACTGGAAAACAAATGTACCAGTCCCAACCTAACCTTCATCTTATTTAAAAGAGGAGGATGTCCGAGAGTCATGGCTAGATCTATGACCACATATTGAGAATCCATATTCATATTCTCGTGAGTTATACCCAAATCCATAATCATATGAGAGAATGTCATATCCAGAACCAAAA